TGTGGGGAGCCCAGGGTGTGGAGGCAGAGGGCAGCCCCACAGTGGGGATCAAACAGCCTGGGAGGCTGTCTGAGGGGTCAGGCAGGCAGAAAGGTGAGTAACAAGGATGTGGGGGGTGGGGTGGGGGCTGAGGTGCAGGATCAGCCTACTTTTTGCAGAAGTCCTTGAAACAGAGCCGAAGCTTATTATGATGCCTGAAGAGCTTTCGGTCTTCCGGGATCTCTGCCAAAAACACCTGGGCTACCTCCAGGGGACCCTGGGGGATGAGAAGGGGTTGTGAAGGCCCCTGCGTGGTACCGGGGGTCCCTCCCAGGATGTCTACACCTCCTACTGGCCGTGCCTGGTTCACAGTAGGCCCCACAGAACCCTGGAGCACCATCTGCAACATCTTGGCGTCCGGCGGGTCCTGCTCGGTCGCAAAAGCCAGCTCCCGCGTCTTCTTCTGCATGTCTTCAATGGCCACCTCCACCGGGGTCAGCACTGTCTGTGGGTGGGGGAGGGACCTGCACTTGCTGGGTGTTCTGACCCAAGCCAGCCAAGGCTCAAACCCTACTGGGGGCAGGAGAGGGGTCCAGGAATCTGGGTAAGGGTGTCTGGGACTCCAGCCTGCCGGCCTTGTTTGTCTATGGGGGCTTTGCTATGGTTGGGGTCCAGCCTTGGGTCTGGAGGCCAGTGGTAGATGTTGGGATTATCAGACTGGGGCCCAGGTTCCCTTCACACCTCTTCTCGGTGGCATACGCGGATGCGCGTCTTGATGTAGGGGAAGGCGTGGGCTGTGCTGAGCAGGGTTTTGCGTTTGTGTTGTTCGGGCAGCTCCCCGTGTGCCCGCCCGTCGGGTGTGAAGGGTGTGCAGAATAGGAAGGTCCGCAGCCCGTAGTTCCGGTCGAAGTAAGTCACTCGGTCCTTGAGCTCATAGGTGTCGAAGTAGGGCTCTACATATGTGATCTGAATGTAGGCCTGGGGCAAGGGGGGGGGTAGGGGGGGCAGTGAGGATCCTGCAGCTCTAACCCCACAGGGTACTAGCTTTATAAAAAGGAGATCTAGGCTTCCCTGGGTCTGAACCTGGGGCTCCCAGGTCGTCCTATGTTTGAGTCTTTGACTATCTCCACCACGTCTTCCCCAAAGCTCTCCATGTAGATCCCTAAAGAATAGGATTGGGGATCCCCCAGGTTGCTGCGGGATAATGAGCTGGACTGCAAGGTTGGTCTGAAGTGCAAGGTTGGTGGTTCAGACTCACCAGCTGTTCTTTGGAAACCCTGTACAGGGTTGCTATGAGTCGGAACCGATTTGACAGCACTTACCACCACCACCAAGGGCTATCTGCTCCCGTAAAGGTGCCTCAGAAACCCTGTACAGGGTCTCTATGAGTCAGAACCGACTCCACATACTTAACAACAACAGCAACATGGTGATGCAGTGGTTAAGTGCTCAGCTGCTAACTTAAAGGTTTTAAACCCACCAGCCACTCCACGGAAGATCTGACAATCTGCTTCCATAGAGCTGAAAGTCCTGGGAACCATGTGGGCAGTTCCACTCTGTCCTATAGAATCACTGACTCTGAATGGACTTGGCAGCAATGGGTCTTTTCAGGGTTCTAGCATTTGGGTTTTCCCAGAGAACTAGCGTGTAAAGGTCCCCAGAAAATAGCACTTGGTGTCTCCTTGAATACAGGATTTTGGGTCCATAGGGGGTGAGAGCCCCGCACCTTCTGTGGCTCGAGCTTGGACTTGTCCACAGGGTTGGAGTCTTTGACAATCTCCACCACGTCTTCCCCAAAGCGCTCTGTGTAGAACTCCTAAGGAGATGGGTTGACTTAGGCTGAGCCCCGATCCCAGCCCAGGGTACTCCCAGGGTCTTGCCCCCAGAACGTGCCTCTAGCCGATGCGAAATCTCAGCCAGCTTCGTGATGGACGGCTCCTTGTACACAAACTCTTGCTCGTCCAGGTCTCCGAAGCGGGCTCCATAGAAGCCCACTCGGAAATACGTCCCGAAAACACGCTGGGGCTGTGAGAAGAGGATGCTGAGTGGGAGCTCTGTAACCTCATAAAGTGGATGTCCTCAGACCTCACAGGGCAGGTGGGTACAGGTGAAGGGACCCAGAGAACAACGGTGTACAGGCATGGGCAGAGGGACTCTTAAAACATGAGGGCGTGAACTGGGCCACCACCCACTGCCCACACCTTGCTGTTTCTCCCAGCCTATCTTTCTCCTCATTGTTGAGGCCCTCAACCTGAATTTGGAACTGAAGCCATATTGCTCAGGACTGGGTCCCCAATGTCCTCAAAGCTGGGCACACAGTAGGTACTCAGTATTTAAGCAGCTGAAGGAAGGCCTGGCTTCTCCCACTCTGGGACAGAGGTTCTGGCTCCCTTGTTCTAGGGCTGACTCCCCTTCTACCCACTCCCACCCCCCAGGAGGGGAGAAGATGGTTCCAGCTCACTTACCAAGGCAGATCCAGGCAGGGTGGGGTGAGGTGGGACAGGCAAGGTAGGGGATAGAGAGACAAAGTCATGAGAGAGGTCAGAGGTCAGCGTGTTCTCCCTTATCACCACCCCCAACTTGGTTATGCTGTCCCATGAGAAACATTCCATGGGGAGAGAACAGGGACTGGGGGAGAAGGGGCCTGCCCATGCTGCCCCGCTCCACCCACCAAGTCTCTGGGTTCAGGCCATCTTTGGCCAGAAAATTCTCCCCAAACTAGGAGATGCCTAAAAATAGACCAACTTGAGGACAGACGGGAAGGGAGGGGGTAGCCGCCGTGGTAAACAGAAAGGGAGGGGCTGGGGAGGCAGGGGAAGATAGAGACCAAGGGAGACACAGACCAAGACAAACAAAGAGCAGGGCAGGGAGGGAGGAAGCCGGAGCCCCCTCCCTATGGTGACTGATATGACTCTGGTGGAGGGAGGGGTGTTTATGGAGAGTTCCCAGCTGGGTGAGTCACAGGCGGGATGCTACCCTGGAGGATTGGGGTGCTTCAGACCCCTGCAGTGACCCCAGGCTGCTGTGCTCCTCCAGCGCCCCCTGGTGTTCACTGCTGGCCAGCTGTTACCAGGGGCAGTTGGCCACCAGTATGGACTCACCTCCCAGCCGGAGCTCTGGGGGGAAAGAAAGGTCAAGGTCAGCCAAGCCCTGGGTCAGGGCCGAGGGCAGGGTCCGGGAGGACGTCGGGGGTGGGGGGGGGCCTACCTGGTGCATGATCTTGGTGAAGGCCTCCTGCAGTTTACCGTGCACAGCAGCCAGTTTCTTGTAGTCGCGGTGGGCTTCCAGGATGGGGATGAGGGTTTTGTAGACCTCATTCACTGCCTCGTAGAGCCCGCCCTGGGGTGGGGTTGGAGGCTTATCAAGGTTTCTTCCTGCCTGAATAACTAACTGGTCTACCCCCGAGGCTGTGCTCCCACCTCAACTCCTTCCAGGAAGCTCAACCTAACCACCCCTGCTGCAGATGGGGCTCCAGCCTTTCCATGTGGCCTTCACAGGCCCCTGGGTGGTCTCCATCACATTCAGTAAGTCTTACTTTGTACCAGTACTGAATATATCTGCATTTTCCCATAGTCCCTTATAGCAGGAGGCGTCCCAGGGCTGGGACGTGACCTCTGGCCCATCTTGGCTGGGTGTTCATGAACAACTGCCTCCTGAAACATGGCAGAGGCTGCTGATGGGTCTCCAGGTCCCTGGTGCACACAACAGGCACCCCTGGGCTGTTTGCTGACACACTGTCAGAAGGTCCTGTTCACGATCTGGCTTCTTCCCCCAAGGCTTTTGTCTCTGAGATGCCAGCAGAAATAAGAGTAATGAAAACAACACTGCAAAAGGCTACAAGGAGCGTGGTGGTGCAGCTGTTAAGTACTTGTCGGCTAACTCAGAGGTTGGTGATTTGAGTTGAGCACTCAAGATGTATTGATAATTACGGGTGATTGAAATGCAAAGGTTGGAAGCAAAGAGGAAGGATCATTGGTTGGAAAATATGGCCTTGGTGACAAAAACGATGCTGGAGATCACATGACAGAATTTCGCAAGACCAATGACAAGTATCTTTTTTAAACAACATAAAAGACGACTATACACATGGACCTCATCAGTTAGACTACAGAGAAACCAAATTGATTACAAATCAGTAGGAACAGACAGTGGAAAAACTCCATATCATCAGCCGAAACCAGGCCAGGGGCTGACTAACAAACAAAACATCAATTGCTTATATGCAAGTTCAGGCTGAGGCTGAAGAAAATTAAGACAAGTCCACGAGAGCCAAAAGTTGACCTTGAACATATCCCACCTGAATCTAGAGATCATCTCAAGAACAGATTTGTTGCATTAGACACTAATGACAGAAAGCCAGAAGAGTTGTAGGATAACATCAAGAACATCATACAGAAGGAAAGCAAAAGGTCATTAAGAAGATAAGAAAGAAGACCACAGTGGATTTCAGATGAGACTCTGAAACTTGCTCTCCAATGTAGAGATGCTAAAGCAAATGGAAGAAATGAGGAAGGAGAAGAGCTGAACAGAACATTTCAAAGGGCTGCTCGAGAAGACAAAGTCAAATGCTATAATGAAATGTGCCAAGTTTCTTAAGCTGAAAGAACTGAAGAAAGAATTCAAGCCTTGACTTGAAATATTGAAGGAATCTATGGTCAAGATGGAGTCCTGGTGTGGCGCTGTGGGTTAATGCGCTGGATTGCAGTCAGTTTGAACTGCAAGATTGGCGGTTCAAGTTCTTCAGCCTCTCCTTGGAAACCCTATACACAGTTGCTATGAGTTGGAACTGACTTGATGACACTTAACAACAACATGGACAAGATACTGAATAACGCAGAAAGCATCAAAAGAAGATGGAAAGAATATGTAGTCACTGTGCCAAAAGAAATGGTTGATGTTCAACCAATTTCAAGCGGTAGCAGAGGATCAAGAAAGAGCCAAAGATACTGAAGGAAGAAGTCCACGGTGCACTGAAGACTCCGGAAGCTGAAGGAATACAAACTGAAATCGTTCAACCACCTGAGGCGGCACTGGAGGTACTCCCTCATCTCTGCCAAGAATTTGGAAGACAGTTATCTGGCCAACTGATTGGAAGAGATCACTATTTGTACCCACTCCACAGAGTGGTGACCCAATGGAATGAGGAAATCATCAGACAATATCATTAATATCACATGCAAGTAAAATTTTGCTGAAGATAATTTAAAAACAACTGCAACAGTACACTGATGCGGAACAGCCAGAGGTTCAATCCAGACTCAGACAAGGATATGGAATAAGGGATATCATTGCTGACATCAGATGGATAGTGGCTGAAAGCAGAGAATACCAGAAAGATGTTTACTGGCTCTTTATTGATTATGCAAAAGTTTTTCCCCATGCAGATCATGACAAACTATGGACAACATTGCTGAGAATGAGTATTCTGAAACACTTAAATGTGCTCATGAGACACCTGTACACAGACCAAGAGGCAGCTGTTTGAACAGACCAAAAGGACACTGAATGGTTTAAAATCAGGAAAGGTGTGTGCCAGGGTTGTAATCTTTCACCATACTTATTCAATTTGTATGCTGAGCAAATAATCCAAGAAGCTGGATGATATGAAGAATGTGGCATCAGGATTGGAGGAAGACTCATTAACAACCTGTGATATGCAGATAATACAACCTTACTTGCTCAAAGCAAAGAAGATTTAACATACTTACTGATGAAGATCAAAGATCACAGCCTTCAGTATGGGTTGTTGTTATTAAGTGCTGTCGAGTCGATTCAGACCCATAGCGACCCTGTAAAGGTTTTCCGAGGAGAAGCTGGTAAGCTTGAACCGCCGACCTTGCAGTTCAAACAGCTTTGCAGTCTGGTGTATTAACCCACAGCACCACACCAGGACTCCTCAGTATGGGTAGCCCCTCAATATAAATAAAACAAAAATCCTCACCAGTGGACCAATAAATAATATTATGTACATGGAGAAAAGAATAAAGTTGTCAATTCATTTGTCTTTGGATCCACTATCAACATTCTGGAGTCTTGGTGTGGCGCTGGGGAATAAATCACTGGATCGCAAGGCCAGTTTGAACCACAGGGTCAGCGGTTCAAACTCACAAGCCACTCCTTAGAAACCCTATACAGGATTGCTATGAATTGGAACCCACTCGACAGCACTTAACAACAAGAACAGTAATTAATGGAAACAGCAGTCAAGAAATCAAATGATGTATTACCATAGGCAAAGCAGCTGCACAAAACCTCTTTAAAGTGTTCAAGAGCAAAGATGTCCGTTTGAGGACTAAGGTGCGCCTGACCCAAGACATGGTATTTTCAATAGCTTCATATGCATGTGAAAGTGGAGAATGAGTAGAAGAACTGATGCATTTGAGTTATGGTATTGGAGAGGAATATTAAAAGTACCATGGACTACTTGAAAAGCAAACAAATCTGTGTTGGAAGAAGTATACTCAGAATGCTCCTGAGAATCCAGGATGGCCAGACTTTGTGTCATACTTTGGATATATTGTCAGGAGGGACTGGTCTCTGGAGAAGGATATCATACTGGGTAAAGTGGAAGGTTGGAGAAAAAGAGCAAGACCCCCAATGGGATGGATTGGCACATGGCAGCAGTAATGGGCTCAAGGTTCACAATGATTATGAGGATGGTACAGGAATGGGCAGTGTTTCCTTCTGTTGTGCATAAGGTTACCATAAGGTCACCATGAGTAGGGAACTGACTTGATGGTACTTAACAACAACTGGTAGTTCTTTCTGGTAGCGTAGTGGTTATGAATTGGGCTGCAAACCTTAAGGCCAGCAGTTTGAAACTACCAGCCGCTCTGCGGGAGAAAGATGAGGTGTTCTGCTCCTGTAAAGATTTACAGCCTCGGAAACGCTGTACAGGGTCGGAACCGACTCGACAGCACACAACAATAACAACTGCAAGCAAGTGTCTGTGAGGTAATCAAGGAATTTTAAAATGGACTAGGATTAAGAGAGTGAAGAACTACTTACTGTTAACTTGCTAGTGTGTGATAAGACTTTTTTAAGCCTTTGTCAGTGAGGGTGGGCCTGTGGTATCTGGCTGTGACAGGTTGGTTATCTATAATTGTTTTAAGGTAGAGCCTCTGAGATTCCAATGTCTGGGATTTTGTTTAACATCAGTGTCTGGGGTGGGGCCCAAGACCACTGCATTCCTAACAAAGCCCTGTTGTTATGTGCCGTGGAGTCGGTTTCGACTCATAGCAACCCTGTACAGGGTTTCCGAGGCTGTAAATCTTTACGAGAGCAGAACGCTTCATCTTTCTCCCGCGGAACCGCTGGTAGTTTCGAACCGCTGACCCTGAGGTTTGCAGCCCGATTTGTAACCGCTATGCTACCAGAGCACCTTAAGCAGCAATGGCTTAAAAACGCCACCAGTCATTCATGTTTGTTTCCTGATGTGTCAAAGTTGTGATTGGTGCACTTCTCTGTTCTTTTTATGTCAAAAAAAATAAATAAATAAAATAAATGAAACAGTACAGCAAAAACAAAAAAAAACAAAAAAACAAAACAAACCCAGAAGAACTGGGGGCAAAGGAGATATGAACCAGGATAGCAGAAAGGGAGCGGCAGCTGCTCGGTCTGAGACATGTTGGAAACATTATCTAATAGGACGTTTCACATAGCAACTAAGTGTACAGAGTGTTTACTATAACCAGGCCTTGTGCCCTTTATAGGGAGAAAGGCAGACAATGAATGGGACCTCTGAGGTTTTCAGAAGGAACGCTGGCAGCTCAGTGGTTAAGTGCCTGGCTGTTAACCGAAAGGGCGGCAGTTTGAACCCAGCAGCTGCTCCTCAGGGGAAAGATGAGGCTGTCTGTTTCCTTCAACATCACAGCCTTAGAAACCCTATTTGGCAGCATCACTCTGTCCTCCAGGGTCTCTAGTATGAGTTGGAATCGGCGGCTCGAGTCTCACGAGTCCCTCTATCGCTTGGCCCCAGGCCTCCCTCTATCGCTTGGCCCCAGGCCTCACCATGGTGAAGTAGGCAGCCGCCTGCTCCAGCAGCCCCACCAGCCCCAGCTCCGTGAAGTGCTTCCCGGAACAGAAGCCCTCCTCATCGGGCGACAGGATGTCGTCGGAGATGGCCGATTCCTCCAGAACGTTGGAGGAGATGTTCTAGAGGAGGAGCGGGTGTCAGGCCCTGGTCCCTGAGGCAGGCCCACCCGCGGCCCACCACCCTGCAGGCTCACTTGGAAGGAGACGCAGCCCACGGGCAGGTGGCGGCTGTCCTCCAGCAGGGCCAGATACTCAGCTACCAGGGCAGCTGCGTGCACCATGCACTGAGCCGCCTCGGCGTGGTTGCCCAGTTCTGCATGCTTCCCGGCCATGTTCTGTAGCCATGTCAGCCGCAAGTCCGGGGAACCCTGGTAGCCTCGGGCAATCCTGGGGCCCAGGGGAGGAGATGGGGGGGATGGGACTCACCTAGCCCTTTTTGCACACCCCTCACTTGTCCCTTCCACTGACCAGCCATCTCCTCACCTGTCCCCCATTCACCCATCCATCCCCCATTCCCCAACCTGTCCATCCTCTCAACTGCCAACTGCAGATATTCTTCCATTCAGCTTTCTTTTACTTATCCATCTGCTACCTGCTCCTCCCTGAACAGTCTCCTCACCATTCACCTGACTGCTCACCTGCCCATCCTTCACCTATTCCCTTAGCTCTCCATCTGCTCGCTCACCTGTCTGCTCACTTGTCTCTCCCCTTCACTGATTCCCCTCGTCTCTCTCCTCACCTGTCCATCACTTCGCTTATTTCTCGATTCATCTGTCTCTTCCCTCATCCAACCTTGCACCCTCCCCAACTTGTCATTCTGTCCGCTCATCAGTGGACTCTACCTGAGGAAACACCAGCCACCTGTTTCCCACTCCCCACTTACATACCAATTCACCTGTCTTCTGCTCACCTGTGTACCTTAGACACATCCCTTCCATATCAACTTCCCTTACTCCATCATCTGTCCATCCCCAAACTCTCTTTCTTACTAAATACCCCTCACTTCTCCTGAAGCCACTTTTTTCCCTGACCTGTTCACCCTTCACCTGTCAGCACCTCACCTGTCTCTCCCATCCGGTCCCCTCCCTCGTCCTAGTCATTGGTCATCTTCATCTGTACATTCACTTGTGCTCTCTCCTGTTCCTCTCACCTGTCTGCTCTCCTAGGCCCTCCTCACCTGTCCCGTCCTTCTTGTCTCTTGTACCACCTGTGTGCTTACCTCTTCCCGCTCACCTCGTCTCACTGTCGGCGGGGGTTGGTGGGCCTGCTCACCTGTACATAAGATCAATGAGCATCTCGGGATCCTCCTGATGCTCCTTCATCTTCACCGTGTCGGTCAGGATCATGTGCAGATTGAACATCAGGTCCTGGACCTGGAACCAGATGTGTAGGCATCAGTGAGGGCATAGGGAGGTGAAGGGGCCAAGACGATGAGGTCAGGGGCCCAATGGGTGTCACCTGCTCGGCAAAAGTGCTGTCTCGCAGCCCCACGTCCTCCTCGGCGTAGGTGAGGATGGTCTTGAGTGAACGTCGCAGGTGTTCTTCGCTGAAGTTCTGTGTCGTGCCCACCAGGGATGAAAGAGACATGGTCACCTGCATCTTCACGCGGGCAAAGTTCTGAGGGTGGCAGGAGAGGGAGAATGCACCTGTAAGTCTCAGACCCCAGACCTTCACCTGGCCCACTGCTTCACACCAGGACCTCCCAACCTCCTACTCCCATTCGCCTCTCTCCTTCCTCACTGTCACAGAGATCCCCATGCTTCTACAACACCTTGTACAAAACAGCCACCACAGCCTAGTCTACATCACCCACCAACGCCTGGCCACAGCCTCGCGCATGCCGGTCCCCAACATGCCTACCACTCACGTTTCCAATCTCGAAGTTCTGACGCATGAGGAGGTAGAGGGAGGCGCTGGCGTGTGTGCGGATGGCGCTGATGCGGCTGCCGCAGTGACGCAAGAGCCTCAGGCAGAGGTCGGCACACAACTCCGTGTCTTCCTCGAACAGCAACTCTGGGAACTGTACCCCCAGGGCCCGGACACACTGTTCAACCCTGCCTGTTCTGGCTCAGAGGGTTCCAGGGTGGGGTGTGTGGAAGCGGGTTGGGTTGGGGGACAAAGGCACCTGTTTATGGGGCTGAGCACAGTGGGGTATTATAGTCAGACCTGAACTCAGGTGACCAAGGGCAAGGGACTAAGCCACTCTGAGCCTCAGTCTCCTCCTCTGTAAACAGCAATGGAGAGTCTCTGCCTCATGGAATGGCCGGCACATAGTAGGTGCTCAATGAACAGGCTGCTATTATCACTCAAGAACCAGGGTGGTCAGGTAGTGGTGCTCACCTTGGACACCAGGGCCCGTTGGGTGGCCAGGCCATGCTGCAGGAAGAGGGCACTCTGGGCACTGCCCAGACTGTACAACACAACCTTCAGCACCACCCCCAAGACACTCTCCCGTGCCTCTGACAACATCACCGTCTGCAATGGGGGAACAAGCCACAAAGGTCAGAAACCCAGGTGTTAAGTGACTGGGCTGGTTATGGGGTCAGGGAAGTAGTGGAATTATGGAGTCGGACATCACAGGGCAGATGCTAGATCAAGCCCTACCTGCACGATGATCTCCAATGTGTCCAGAACCACCAGACTCGCCTCAGTTGCCAGGTTCCCATCCACCAAGGCTTCATGTTCCATTTCATCCTTGGTTCTGGAGAGGAAGAGGGACTTGGGGGAACCACCGAAGACCAGGCTGTACCCTATCACTGAGCTTTCCCCCTCCCTTGACTGCCCTGGGGATGCCAGTTCACTGGAAACTGGTCTGAGGCCCATGAATCACTTGCTACCCACACCCACTTGTCCACACGGTCCGAGGCTTGTCTCCAGTGTGTGATGCTCTTCCGCCAGCGTACGTTCTCCTGATTCCCATACGGGCTTCTCTCTGAGATGGGCACATGTTCACACATGTGCGAAAACATGAGGAGTATATATAACCATGAGAAAAAATGCCAGGTAGAAATGTATGCATGTGGGGTGAGACAGTCCCAGAGACTTGCTGACATGTGACTTGAGACACAGAGACCCATGTCTCCAGGGTTCACACATGGATTTCTTTCTAGGAGCTGGACCGAAGGTTATGGGTGGCTGTTCTGGGGTCCCTGGGACATGGGGTGGGAGCTGCTGGTGGGGACAGTGTGTGCAGGGTACACCTCCCTCTCACCACGACTCCGCCGGACCATCTCCTGCCGTGCTCCAATGGTCCCCAAGATGGCTTCCTCTAGGCGAGCCTTCATGTCCAGTGATTTCTTGAAGGTGAGGCTGTTGATGCGCTCAAAGGCCTTTTTCCCCTGGAGGGCAGAACAAGGGAGTTCCAGATTGACTCTGCCTCTTTCTGTGGGACTTGGGCCAACTGAGACCCTCTTTTTCTCTTCCTTACCTCTAGGACCCTGTGCTTGAAGACATAGGTAACCCATAGTCCTCAGCACCTTCCATATCCTATTTATGAAGACAATTATCTCTTTACAAAAATATACCCTCAGCTCATAGGAACCTGTGCACAAATAGTCCGCCCCCTCCTTTACCCTCAGCCCCTCAGGAACCTATGCACAGAAGCAGGTCCACCCCTTTATTTACACTCAGTCCCCCAAAAATCTATGCATAGAAATAGTCCATCCCTTTACCCTCAGTTCCTTAGGAACCTGTGCACAGAAACAACCCACTCCTTGGTCCTCAGCCTCGTAGGAATCTGTGCACAGAAATGGTCCACCCCTTTACTCTTAGAGCTCACACTATCTGGGTCCTATTGTGTGATCCATACCCAGCCTGCCTCCTACACCCTAGCCCCCCACCCAGACTCTCAAACCTTGTACTCAAAGGCAGCCAAGCAGAGGTGCAGCAAATCCAAGAGACGACCCAACTGAGGGAGGGCCAGGTCCGCGGTCCAGCGCTGCAGCAGGACCGGATCTGCATTTTTCAGTACCCACAGCACACACACCAGCAAGGTTCGGCTAGACTCAGCAGACAGTGTGCTGCCTGAGCGAGAAGCCTGCGGTCAGAGAGGACAGGGCACTGAGGAAGAGCAGGGTTAAACCTGGCCGTCTCATCCACAGAGGCTGAGTCATGGCTGATGAGCATCTCCTCACAGATCTTAGCCAACCCACTTGGAGAATGTCTCTGGAACAAGCCCTATACTCACTGTTGTTGGCCCCTGAGAGATGCTGGCCCGGGAGCCAGGGGCCAGTGGTCCACCTGCAATAGCCATGGCCACTGAGGGGTTGATGATACCGGCAACATCCCCTTCCCCTTCTGTGTCTGAGTCCAGCATTGAAGCCAGCCTTGACCGCTGACCTGGGCCCTCTGGGGGGAGGAAGTGAAGGATGAGATCTGGTAAAGTGCTGTCCTTTCTGTCTCAACTGTCAGTTCAAAAGTTACCTTGTTAAGGAAGCCTTCCCTGATACTACCCTCTAAGCCAAGTTGGGTGGGGTCTCCCAGTTATCTGCTCCCAGAGCGCAAATATTGTATCAGATACATTAACTGTATAATTGTTTGGAAACTCCACAAGGACCTGAAAGGTACGTGCTCTTGTTGTTAATTGCTGTTGGGTGGGTTCCAACTCACAGCGGCCCCGTCTGTATAGGGTTTCCGAGGAGCGGCTGGTACTGTTATATATTCTCATCATTTAAAAGATGGCCTGGCTCGGACGACCATGACAACAGATACTGTTGTTATTATTATAACATTAATAAGCACTTGTGTATCATTTACTATGTGCCCAGTTCTTGGCACTTTAAAAGCATTAACACTCAACCTTCAAAATAATGCATTTTAATATCTCTACTTGATAGATTAGGAAGCGGAGGCACAGTCACATTACTTGCCCTGGATTATAGAGCAGGTAAATGACAGAGTTAGGATTTTTGCTTAGTCTCATTCTAAAACCTATGATCTTAACCTCCCGTCTGTGACCCTACCCCCCCAAAAAATAGTCTTACTAGAGGGAGGCACTGATAAAAAATATATATACAACAACAGTTCTCACCCCGGAGACTTTTGAAACAAAAAGTTAACTTGAATTTTTAAAAGTTCCAGCTCAGCACAAGCCTACTCAATTCCTGACTGGACTGAAGTAATTAACTTCTCATATTATTTGCCTAAGAGAGAAAAAGGGGAACCTTGACTAGGGAAAGTGGATAACCGCTCAGTGTCTCTGGTTCGTTTCTGTATAATGTTCAAAGGGTCAATTAAAAAAAAGACAAGATATGTGAATAGGCAGGTCATGCAATTGATGAGAGAAAAAAATGAATATAAAAGGTGACCCACAGATGACCACACATTGACATTAGCAGATAAGGACTTTAAATAAAAATTAGAAAATATGGACAAAAACGGACAAAAAGATGGAGAATTTTAATAGACAATTAGAATCTACCAAAAACAAACCATTTCACATAGACTGAAAAATATTTCAAATCAACAACTCAATGGATGGATTTAACAGAGGACCAGACACAGTATAAAAAGGTACTAGTGAACTCAGGAATCCTGGTAAGATATTGGGTTACTGCAAGGTCAGCACTTCAAATCTACCAGCTGTTCCATGAGGGAAAGATGAGGTTTTCTGCTCCCATAAGGATTTACAGCCTCGGAAATCCTATACAGGGTCACTATGAATCAGAACTGACTCCACGGCACATAACTACCAGTGAACTCAAAGACAAGTAACAGAAGATTTTCCAAATGAAACAGAGAAACAAACAAACAAAAAAGAACAGAGTATAACAGACATGTTGATCCAATCAAAAGGTCTAACATACGTGTAATTGGAATCCCAGAAGGAGAGGAGAGAAAGAAAGCGAGGCAAGGGGAAAAGAAGAAAAAACAAAATCAAGAGATTATAGTTGAAAATTTCCTTAAAATGATGGGAAGAGATCAACCCACAAATCCCAAGTCTGTGTTTCTGATCATCGAACAATATTGCCTCTCAGTAGCTGAATGAATGGATGAAAGGAAACAGCGCTTCAATCATCTTTTCACCCTGTTGAAGTCTACACCTTCCCTTCCTCTGCTCTGAGATGATAGTAAATGTTATAATAACAACATCTCCCATTTAGTGGATGCTAATAAAGTGCAAGTATTACAGCTCTTCCGATGCTCACAAAACCCAGTGAGGATGATGCTATTCTGTCCCCATTTTATGGGTGAGAAAGCTAAGGCTTAGATCTACTAATGGCTTGACTCTGCTCACGTGACAGGACTTGAAACTATTCTGCTGGCCCTAATGCCTGAGTTCTTATCTCTGACTTGGCTCTTCCCACCTCTTCTGCTCCGTGCCTCGTTCTAGATCAAGCTGCTGGACTGACCCCATTCTACCCTTGTCCACTAACCAGCAAAGTCGTGCAGCCGTGGCAGTGTGTCCCGTGAAAGTGAGAGCAGTGGCAGGTACAGCTCAGCTACCCGGGCCTTCACAGAGGGCTCTGCGTAGCGGGGGTCAGCGTCATGGCTACACAGCAGGCTGTGAACAGCACTGATGGCCTTCTTGTGTAGTAGGGATGCTCTGCAGGATAGCAGGGTGTTCAGGATGGGGCAGACGAGGCTTCTGGACTTCCCCACTCTCCCTGGGACTTGACAGGCCCTGTGCTCACCCTTCAGCCTCAGGTTCAAGGGCCAGCGCCAGCTCCGTCAGCAAGAGGCCAGCCAGGTAGTGCTGCTGGCGGAATGACCCACTCAGCTCAAACATGCTGGTCACCTTGGGGTCTGGGGCATGGCTGGAGAAGGCAGAGCTCTGCAGAGTAGAGATCAGGGATTGTGGAGGGCCGGTGGTCAAGTGTCAGAGGTGAGGGGTCAATCGTTAAAGCCATCTATGAGGTGGCAGAAGTCTTGAGGTCAAGGACCAGGTGAGGGCTTGGAGTTAACTCATCTGGAGGTGACAGAGGGCATGGGGTTAAAGGCCAGAAGTGAGAACTGGGGTTAACCATCTGGGAGGTGAGAGAGAGCTTGAGGTCAAAAGTCAGTGATCTAGGAAGTAGCAGACAAGATGCAGGAATTTAGGGTTTAGAGGTTAGAAATGAGAACCTAGTCCACCTAGGAAACTGCCCAGAGCCAGGTGCCCTAGGTGAGAGGTCAATCCACTGGAGCAGTGGCCTACTGTGAGAAGGTAAAAAATGACAGCGTCCTAGAAGATGGGTTGATGGTGAGAAATGGTAGTTCAAGGAGGAGAGGGGCCGGAAGTATGGCTGGCCTACCTGGGAAGTGGTAGAGGATACGGAGGGTGAGGGTGAGGCCGGGGGTGACAGGGGGCAGCAGGGGAGGTTGAGGGTCACGTAGTGTTCATGACTGCACAGAACACGGGTGAAATCCATGCGCAGGGTCAGCAGTGCTGCCGGGTTGGGGGCCGACTGTAGCCGTGTGGTCACCTGTCTCGGGGGAGGGGGGCGTGTGGTCAACAGGTGCTCACATTCACCCTTCCCATCATTACTCCTGCAGTATCATCCACATCACCTGCAGGGACACGTTTCCACCACACCTGCCATGCCCACCCCTACCTGCTTGAAGTGGGCCCGGACCAGACTGAAGACAAAGCCGCGGTCAGCTAAGGATAGGAGGTCACTGAGGAAGAAGGCCAGGCTGATGTTGAGATGTTCAGCCAGCTCCATGTCCTGGGAGGACAGAGGCCTGTCAGCCCATGCTCACATGGCCCCAGCAAAGCCTCTGTCCCACACAAGCCCCAAGGACCTCCCTGAGCCATACCCACTGCCCCCAGCCCTTGCCTCTGGGCTCCAGCCCATCTTGGCCATTCTGGTGGTCCTCAATCGACTACCCTCTGGTCTCCATGCTCATCCATCCATGTTCTTATGGGCTCCATTCAGGATGCTTCTTTCCTCATCACTCAGGTTTAAATAGCATACCCATAGTAGAGATTAGCTACGGATGCCCTCCAAGGTCCTCTCTTGCCCTCTTTTGTGGTAAAAGAATCCCTGGTTCAGAGCTGAATAAAGACTGCATTTCCCAGGTTCCTTTGCAGCTGGGTGTACCCATGTGACCATATGCTGGCCTAGAGGATTTGAGGAGAAATGAGGTGGCCCACTGAAATGGAGGCGGCAGGTCCTCTGTTCCCCCAGACTGTAACGTGATGTGGTGCATGTCATAGTGAACCTTAAGAACCATTCCTACTTATGCTCAAAAGTCAACTATGGTCACATTTAAACCACTTGGCATTGTGTTACAGCAAACAAACCTCTACCCTGAACCAATGCTGTTGCTGATACGTGCCGTTGAGTTGGTTCGGACTCACAGTGACCCTGTATAGTGTTTTCTGAGAAGTTTCTGATGAGTATGATTGACTTGCGGCTCAAACAGACCTTGGGGTCAAGTGCTTTCCTACAGCACCATATCAGGACATTTAAGCATATTTGCTGAGTATCTACTATGTGCCAAGCCCTACTAACAAGACAGACAAGCTCAGTCTTATGGGGGTGGGGAGGGGGGCTGGAGCAGAACTACAGAGAGCCCTTAGAGATACTACAGATTGAGTTCCAGACCACCAAAATAAAGCCAATATCACAACCAAACGAGTCACATGCTCACATGCATTTTTTCGGTTTCTGACTCGATGACATTTAACAACCATAAAAACAGTGCACAGAAAAGTTATGTTGACACTTTAATGTAACTTCTTACGTGTGCAACAGTATTTTGGAAGTTTGACATATTGTGAGAATTACCAAAATGTGACAAAAAGACACAAAGTAAGCATATGCTATTGGAAAAACGATGCTCAGAGATTTGCTTGATGGAGGGTTGCCACAAACCTTTCATCAGTAATAAATACAGTGTCTATGTTGTCGTTAAGTGCCGTCAAGTCCATTCTGACCCACAGCAACCCTGTATAGGGTTTCCAAGGAGCCACTGGTGAGCTTGAACCACCAACCTTGCAGTTCAAATGGCTTTGAAGTCTGGTGCATTAAGCCACAGTGCCATACCAGGACCTCACCGTGTCTATGAGGTGCAATAAAATGAGACATCCCTATAAAAGAACTCCTGATTTTTCCATGTGCTTTGAAGTCATGAATAGGGTGATATTTCAAGCAAGGCTCACAGGATGAGAAAGAGTCAAGAGGAGAGAGGCATTCTGAGCGGAGGGAACAGTAAAGTGCAAAGGCCTTGGGGCAGGATGTACCCAGCAAATGTGAGGAATAGTGAGGAGAATGGTGTGGCCCCCAAGACCTGGTGGGCACCTATTCTGCACACATGCGTTTGAGAGCCATGCTGTGACCTAACTTACTCCCCTGAATTAGTCTGAGTAAGCCCTCAGTTCCCAGCACAAATAGGGAGGTTTCAAAGAAGTTTCTGGAAAAGTTGAATTAAATGGAATTTTTCTGTAAAAATTTTGAAGCCCCTTTGTATAATACAAAAATCCTTCCCACAAGGACAGGAATCAAGTCTATGTATGAAGTCCTTCTGTAGGATAAGCACTGGACTACAAGGTCAGTTTGAATTGCAAGGCTGGTGGTTCAAATCCACCATCCACTCCTCGGAAACCCTATACAGGGTCACTATGAGTTGGAAACAACTCGACGGCACTTGACAACTAACTACATGGAGCCCGATGCTGTCTGTGTTTGATTAATGTTGAATGAATAGACGAAGCCGCTAAAGACCCTCTCTGAAGCCCCACTACTGGCTGCAATAAAGCTGCTCACTGGGGTGTCACTTCCCTGCAAACTTTTCTCATAATCTGGGTCAGCCCCTGGGAACACTGGACCTTGGGGGAGGTTCCATAGAGACAAGGTTGAGACCTTTGAGACCAGAGCAGAGGGCGTGTGGGATTGCGTAAAAAGCCAGCTGCCCACACAGTCGGCATTTCAAAAATGTGGAAAGTTCCTATCTAAATCCTGAAGTTCCCTTTCTCTTTAAAAAGAGTTGATTCCTGTCCCTGTGGGCAGGGTTTCTGTATTATACAAGGGGGGGCTTCAAAAATTCTGGCCCAGCTGACCTGAATATTCACATGGCATGTGTCCTCTGGCCCACTGCAGCCCACCGCCTGCCTGGCCGAAGCTGGTGGTTAGGGTGGGGGCTCTGGAGCTATAGCCTGGGGTTCTGCCCTTTCCCAGTTGTGTGGCAACAGGTTAGCAACTCATTCTCTGCCTCGGTTTCCTCTTTAGTACTCTCCATTTACTAGTAAAATGGAGATTACAACAATACTAATTTCATGGCCTTGTTGGGAGACTTTCATGATGTTATTTAGCTGAAGCGTTAAGACATCCAGCAAGCACTCAATAAATGCTTATATTAATTTTAGTCTTACTGCCTACCTGGCCCTGAGGGAAGTCCTAGTGTGGCACTGTAGGATGAGTGCTCGAATGCAATGTTGGTTTGAACCGCAAGGCTGGCAGTTCAGATCTACCAGCCACTCCTCAGAAACCCTATACAGGGTTCTCTAAGAGTCAGAACCAACTGGAAGGCACTCAACAACAAGAAGCCCCTGTGGTGGTCTTCCTGGGTGTTGCAAACCGTTAATCACTGAACTACTATCTAAAAGGTGGGTGGTTCGAACCCACTTGGAGGCACCTCGGAAGACAGACCTGGAGAACTGCTTCCAAATGGTCCCAGCTTTGAAAATCCTATAGAGCAGTTCTGCACATGTGCAGTCTGCACACAGAATCATCTCGAAGGACTAACAACTGCAATGATGGCCCCTGTGAGCAATGGAGCTGGTAACTCCAGGGCCTGGACAAGGTCAGGGTCTCAGACCATCAACATCCACTTACTGAGCACTTAGGGGTCTGTCTTGTGCCTTCTGCTTCCCCCTAGTCACTCCACTCCAATTACACTAACCTCCTCATTGGTGCTCTAAGAGCCCAGGCCTACCTTGCCTCAGGGCCTTTGCACTTACAGTTCCCCCAGAAGCATGCATGGCTCCTCCCTTATCTCCTTCAAGTGTCTCCTCAAAGTCAGACCCATTCAGCAGCCATGGGGCTTTTCCCAAGTAGCCCCAGGGCCTGTACCTTGTGGCATCGGGTGATCACCTCCAGGCCCACAGAGCCCACCAGTGCTGAAATGTCATCCAGGAACCGTCCTGGGAAACGCAGCTTGCGGGGCGTGTCCAGCCGCTGGCCCAGAAGCAGGTGCAGGGCCATACTCTTCACCTGGGGGAGGGGAGAGGGGCCAGGGCAGGGCTTGAATGGCTGAGAGTGGCTTTAGAAGCCAGGGAAGGGGCTGCTAAAGGTGGGTCTGAGGTGGGGCACGAACCCTGCGGGGGGGCTGTGGGCGGGACCTGAGAAATGCTGAAAGGAGTGAGAGGTGCGAAGTCTGGTCTGTGGGTGGCGCTAAAGGCCATGTGAGTTCTTTGGGGGCATGGCCAGCAGGCTCTGGGGCAGGGACTAGAGTGAGTCTTCCTCGTAGGGGCTACCTCCTGAAGAGTTGGGGGGACTCTTAAATCTTGTCACAACGGTTTCCTGCTCTCTTTGGGGAAATCTCTTGGAGTAAGGGTCTCCCCTGTGGCCAAAGGTCTCTCTCCAGTCAATCTCATGGGGCAGATGTTTCCAGGTACTATCTCAGGAGACCGCCTTTCTCCCGCCAGGTGGGGAGGGGATGTCTCACCATGAGCTGGAAGAAGAACCAGGCGTGCTGCAGAATGGCTTCGCGCACGTTGCTGCTGCTGACCACCCACTGCAGAGCCAGTTCTTCGTGAAGCAGCTGAGGGAGGGAGAAGGGGTCACGGAGGGCTGAGGAGCCCACTCCCTCCAGAGGGCGGATGGGGAGCGTGCAGCAGAGGGAGAGTCAGGCGGGATTAGTGCAGCAGGGCCATGCAGGAGGGATGGGGCCAGAGGGAAATGATTCCCTCTCTTTCCAGGTCAAGCTGGGCGGGTGGTGAGGAGGTCTGGAGCCCTTGGCTAGGGACGTCAAAGACTGAATCAATCACTTTCCCACTACCTTCTGCACAGTGGGTCTCGGCTGTGAGGCTGGTGGGGCGGAGGAGCCCTCGAGGTAGGAGGAGGCTCGGCTAGAGCTGCAGTCGGTGGCCTACGATGGGATGGGATGAAGATGGGATGGCAGGAGGTGTTAGAATGATGAACAGGGGAAAGGTGTGTCCATTGAACGGAGGAAGAGACCCATCATTGTGGACCATGGAGATTTGTGGGTGTGTTTGAGGTCCTGGGGATATGGGTGTGGGGGCAGGGATGAGGTTGTGGGGGTACAGACGGGGTTGTGGGGTATGGATGGCATTGTGGGGGCATGGACAGGTTTGTGTGGTATGGATAGCATTATGGGGGCATGGACAGGTTTGTGGGATATGGACAGCATTGTGGGGGCATGGGCAGGTTTGTGGAGTATAGACAGCATTGTGGGGGCAGATTTGTGGGGGTATGGATGGGATTGGGGGGCATGGATGGAGTTGTGGGGGGATGTGGAGGTGTGAAAGTAAGAGACGAAAAGAGAGACATATTAGTAATAGTGAAAGTGACTATGCGTTCACTGAGTAAGGAAGAGTCTGATGTAGGAGAGGATAATGACAGAGAGGTGACAAGGTGGAGGAGAGTGACAGGGAGCCCACTGCGGGCTCAGCACAGGTGAGGGGCATGGAGGAGATGGAAAAGGATGGACCAGAAAGGCAGGTGCTGGGGGAGGAGATGGACTTAGTGTAGATGGGGTGATGAGAGTGAGTCAGTGAGTTTAGAAGGATTGGGCAGGTGTAGGCAAAGGGGGAAAGGAGGGAAGGAGGAGACAGACAGAAATGACACCTGCAGACGGAGGAGGAAAGGAAAGAAGGCATGGAGAGAGGCGGTGACATAGTGATAAGGCAGAAGCACCGAGAGCTCCTGGACGCTTTGCTCCTGCTCCAGCCTTGCTTTGGGCCTCACTGCTCTCATTTCCCCATCTGTGAAATGGTAGTGGGGTCCTAGCTCCTCTCTTCTCAGTTGGATAGGAGAGGAGGCATTGGGGAAAGAGCCCGCCAGGCCCCAGACCCCATAGCCGGGCTATGTGGGTTCCTCACACCTCCATGACTCTTCCTGCCTTGGATGCCCATAGTCCCCTACCTCATCTCCTCCTTCTGTTCTTGTTAAGGGCTGTTGAGGCAGTTTCGACTTAGCAACACTTCATACAGTTTCCGAGTAGAGGCTGGAGGATTTGAACCACCAACCTTGTAATTAGCAGCCCAGAGCTTATCCTACAGAGCCATACCAGAAATCCTCATCTCCTCCTATTGCTCTGCAAAGCCCTGGAGATCCCTCAGAGACTCCAAAGTCTTGTGAAAATGCTGGGGTCAGGGACCAGGAACCCAGACATCCAGCAATTCCTGGAACTACCAAAGGCATATGCCACCTTAGTAAGGACACGGAGCTGGCATGGGGCACCCGGAGAAGGTTCACTGAGGTGTTCCCGCACCCCCCCACTCCCTGTCCCCTGCTGGCCCCTGTATGGCTCAGTTCAAATATCACCTCCTGAGCAAGGTCCCTCCAACCACAGACATTTCACACAAGGCAATGAGACACACCTGTGTGTGGGTTGCTCTTGTCTACTGCCAAATTCTGCTGGCTGCTCAGATGCAAGGCTGGGCTGAGGATCGAGTCCTATATCCAAACCCTGCCTGTACTGCACCCTCTCTCCCAGGCTTGGGCCCCCATACTGAGCACTTTACTTCTAGTACTGACCACCTTTGAAAACTCAAGAGTGAGACCTTCATCTGACAGATGAGGAAACTGATGTTCAGTATTGCTGTTAGGCACACTTGAGTCAGTTCTGACTCTTAGCAATCCGATGCACAATAGAACAAAACACTCCCCGGTCCTGCACCATCCTCTTAACTGTTGCTACGCTTGAACTATGGCTGCAACCACTGTTCCAATCCATCTCCCTGGGGCTCTTCCTCTATTGTGCTGATCCTTAAACATGATGTCCTTCCTCCAGGGACTGGTCCATTCTGTCAACATGTCCAGAGTATGTGAGATAAAGTCTCACCATATTCCCTTCTAAGGAGCATTCTGGCTGTACCTCTTCTAAAACATTTGTTCATTCTTCTGGTAGTCTATTCAATATTCTTCATCAACGCCGTAATTTAAATGTATCCATTCTCCTCCTGTCTTGTCCAGCTTTCACAAGTATCTGAGACGACTGCAAATACCATGGCCTGTCTCAGGCACACCTTAGTCTTCGAAGTGACATCTTTGCTCTTGAAGATTTTAAAAAGGTCTTTTGCAGCAAATTTGCTCAGTGCAATATATCATTTAATTTCTTGATGGCTGCTTCCATGAGCATTGATTGTGAATCCAAGTAGAATGAAATCCTTGACAATTTCAGTATTTTCTCTGTTGATCATGATGCTGCTTATTGGTCCAGCTGTATGTTCATTTTCTTTATGTTGATGTGTAATCCACCACTCGTCTGTCAGCTTGTCACACTGTGGGGGTTTGCATGTTGCTGTGATTCTGAAAGCTATGCCACTGGTATTTCAAATACCAGCAGGGTCACCCATGGTGGACAGGCTTCAGCTGAGCTTCCAGACTAAGAAAGTCTAGGAAAAAGGAGCTATGTGACCAGTGAAAACCTTACGGATTACAAGGGCTCAGTGAGGGAAAGCCAACTGGTGGGGGTAGGAGAGCTAGGACGCAAACCCAGATTTATCTGAAGAGAGCCTTCCAGATGTGTGGGAAGTGACAGGGTAGTAGGAACTGCCCATGGGGTCACTCTGTCTCATGTGGGATGGGGAAGCCCACAGGCTCAGTTCTGTTCCAAGGGGACAGTTGTGAGGTGCCCAAGCAAAGGTGGTAAAGCTTGTGCATCAGTAAATTAAGGGTGAGGAACAGGGCCATGCGGGGATGGGGGGGATGGTGTGTGGTGAGAGATTGGAGGGGAACAGATTTGTGCATCATTTGCATGCCATTTGCATATCACCCCTTCCCTTTGTTACCACCTGAGGCTGACATCTATGAGATGCAAGAGCCTGGCTCAGATGACCCTGTGGTGCCTTTGACACACAGCCCCAGAGGCAGGAAGTCCCGCCCTCTCCTTCAGGCAGCCCCCCACTCCTCCCCAAGGTTAGTTGGCACAGCAGGGTTGGCAGGAAGGGCTCATGCTCACACACGTGCAGGGGCAGGGAGGTAGGGGCACCTGTCTGGGGTCGGCCCCGCAATAAGGGGGCGCCCGCCGCAGCACAGCCTTGCTGCCCCCTGGAGCATAAGCAGAATTCACCCAGGAGTGTGAGCGGTCGATACCCTGGAGATACATGGAGAAGCGGCAGGGTGCCCAGCGTAAAACACCAAGCATGGATCACCCATGAGCCCCCATCGCCACGTGGAAAATGTGCATGTACATACGTGCAAATATGCAACTGCTGCACCTAGCACACGTGGTCCTCGTGGGACGCACATGTACATGTAACTGCTGCACCACGTCAAGCACTCCGACACCCAGTCTGGGACAGCCACCGGGTGGAGAGCCCAGTGCAAAGTCACAGCCCCCCACCCTGTGATGGCCAGAGCGGTCCCGCTGCCCACTGTCCAGGGTTGGAACACGCTGTTCTTCAACAGATAGTCTTCTCCACTCTCCTGGCAACAGTAATATCGGCCACCCCCCACGTGGCAGCCACGGCCACAGGCTGACCTTCTACCCCCACCGCGCTTTACCTTGCTGGCCAGGATGCGGGAGACCTCTTCGTCCACAGAGCTGGGGGCACCGGCCAGATCGGGGTTACTGCTGCTGATGCTCTTGGAACGCGCCAGGTAGAGACTTGTGGTGCGGCCAGGTCCACGGGACAGCGTGGCAGATTGTACAGTCACCGGAGAGGTCCCTGGGGAGCGAAGGACATGATCAATCATTGTCAACACACAGCCTGGTGAGCTCCAGACCTCTACTCAGCTGGCTGCCCTTGACAGCATCATTTTTCTTCTCTGAGCCTCCAGCTTCCTCCAAGTAAAATGGGTATATTGCTACCTCACAGGGATTCTGGGGAGAACGCAACACGACGACAGTGGTTGGCATTGTAAGTTTGTTGTGTGCTATTAAGAAAGTTTCCAATCACAGCCATCCTGTGTAGGGTTTCCGAGAACAGCTGGTGGGTTTGAATTGCTGACCTTGTGGTTAGCAGTCCAATGCTTATTCTACGGCGCCACATCAAGGCTAACAGGGTCATAATTAATCAGTTGTTTATTTATTTCAAAATGAATTTATTTCTTCACATATAATTAAAAGTTATGTCATAGTGTATCAGCTATCTACAACTGCACAGAAATGTGATAAACTCTCTGTTGCTAAGGGCGGCTGAGTCAGTTCGGATTCTTAGTGACCCTGTATAAAGGGCTTTTGAAGAGCCACTGGTTGATTTGAACTGCCAACCTAGCAGTCTAGTGCTTACCCTACAGCGCCACACCAGGTTCTCCAATACCCTATCGGTTGTTGTTAAGTGCCGTCGAGTCGATTTCAACCCATAGCAACCCTGTATATGGTTTTCCAAGGAGCAGCTGGTGAGCTTCAACCGCCAACCTTGCAGTTCAAATGGCTTTGCAGTCTGGTGCATCAACCCACAGCGCCATACCAGGACTCACCAACCTTGCAGTTCAAACTGGTCATGTGGTCCAGCGCTTACCAACTACATAGCCACACCAGGTTCTCTAATACCCTAGCTGTTGTTGTTAAGTGCCTTTGAGTACATTTTGAACCATAGCGACCCTGTATAGGGTTTCCCAGGAGCAGCTGGTAAGCCTGAACCGCCGACCTTGCAGTTCAAAAGGCTGTGCAGTCTGGCACATTAGCCCACAGCGCCACACCAGGACTCCAATACCCTGTCTTGTTGTTGTTGTTGTTATGTGCCATGGAGTTGTTTCCGACTCACAGCGACCCTGTACAGGGTTTCCGAGGCTGTAAATCTTTACAGGAGCAGAAAGCCTCATCTTTTTCCTGCAGAACAGCTGGTAATTTTGAACTGTTAACCATGAGATTAGCAGCCTGATTTGTAACCACTATGCTACCAGAGCTCCTATCTAGAAGGCAGCAAAAGTAGATTGTGACTGTGTATAAAGCTGCCTAGCATTTATAGGCAACGCTGCTCTACAGAGACAATCATCAGCAATCACTATTAATTATTTAGCAGATAAGAAAAAGTCCCGCTTGACTGAGTGCTCCCCGTGGGCCAAGCATTTGGTATGGGTTATAATGTCATTTAATAAGCACTGGTGGCAGCGTGGCTTAATTGTTCGGTTTAGGTTGGTGGTTCAAGCCTATCAACTACTCTCCAGAGAAAAAAAATGAAGCATTGTGTTTCCGTAAAGATTTACAGTCTCAGAAAACCTCAGAGTGGGTCTACGTTATCCTGTGGGGTCACTATGAGTTGGGATTCACTACATAGCAGTGCGTTTGTCTTTTGCTTTTACTGGAGTCCTGGTGCGGTTCTAGGAGCTAATACGCTGGATCGCAAGGTTGGTTTGAACAGCATGGATGGCAGTTCAAGCTCACCAGCTGCTGCTCAGAAATCCTATACAGGGTCACTATGAGTCGGAACCAACTTGAAGGCACTTAACAACATAACACAGTCATTTAGTATTTTACCAGCATCCCATGATGGGGCTACAAATGCCTCTGAGTGGTGCAAACAGTTAAGTGTTGTTAACTGCAAGGACAGAGGTATAAGTTGACCCAGAGGTACCTTGGAAAAAAGGCCTGGTGATCTTCCAAAAAAACCAGCCACTGAAAACCCTATGGGCATAACTCTACTCTGACACACACGGGTCGCCATGACTATAAGAGTTTTGTATTATTATCCCCATTTTACAGATGGGAAAATAATACCCAGAGGTGACATGACTTGTACACGGTTATAGGGGGCCGAGTTGGGATTTAAACCCAGGCAGTTTACCTAGAGTCCCTGCTCCAGTTTACCTAGAGTCCCTGCTCCAAGCTCCCTAAGATGCTTGCTGACTGGCTAGGTTATCTGTCAGTCAAGTTTACAAAGAACACACCACTGCAGGTGAGGCAAAAGTAGGCATAACTTCCTATCTCTAGCAAGTAGCTCAAACAAGCCAAGGCCTGTGCCGCCTCAGGGCCTTTGCACGTGCTGCTCCCTCTCAGGTATTTCCTGTGAGCCCTCCCCAGAGTCTCCCGCCAACACTCACCGCCCAGGGGGCTAAGCTCAGCACCAGGCAAGCGGAAGGCACAGTGGACATAGGCAGCCAGCAACGGGCAGTGACCACGGGCATCCTGGGCAGCCTCCAGGCTCCGGTGGACAAGGCTGACTACATGGACCATTGCTTCAAAGACTCCACGGCCCAGATTCACTGCTGGGCAGAGCAGAGGTTGAGGACTAGGGTCAAATATCTCCTCCTCCCCACCCATTTTCCAGAGGAAGAGACTGAAGGTCTAAGAGGTCATGTGGCCACTAGGGGAGCACACAGGACTTGATATGAGGCCAGGGGACTGAGGGGCCACTTTCCAGATGGGAAAACTGAGGTCAGAGAGAGATAAAAGGCTATGGGAAGTCACACATGACAGAGGGCTGAGGAGGTGTTTTCCAGATGGAGAAACTGAGGCCATGACATCTCACCAATCTGGCCACCAATGATAGGGGGCCGCACGACCAGATGCACGAGCTTGTCCAGCACATGGTGGGAGAATGCGACAAGAGGCTCGGGGCTGGCCAAGCGTAGTGCTGCCAAGCTAGCGCGAAGCTCTGGTTCCACGGTACCCTCACTCAGGACCGCATCCTTGAGGCGGAATGGGAAGGCCCCCTCCTCCAGAACATGTACCAGCGTGAAGAACTTATCCAAATGAGGATCCTGGGGGAGGGGGAGGGGGTGAGCAGGGCAGGCCTCCCTCAGGGGTGGACTGGGGCGGGGGGGCTGAGTGGGTAGAGGCCCCACAGATGAGCAGGCATGACAAGGGACCACTGAGCCTTTCAGGAAGACAGGCAAAGGTGAGTGAGCAGGACAAGTGGGCAGGCCCAAGGTCCCAGGGGAAGTTGGCATGGCCACCCATCCCCTGCCTGACTCAGCAGCGTCCCTGAGCACCCAGGCCGGGCTGACCACAGTCACGTCCACAGTCCGAGGCCAAACTTCCCTGGCCAACGGGAAGTGTTGCCCAATCCCAGGGCAGGATTCCTGGCTCCCCAGCCCATCCCGTACCTGGGGGTGCACAGAAGATATGGCCAGGAGCTCCACGCTGAACACACCCTTGTGACCATCCACCCAGCGCATGCCTGGTAGTGCGACCTATGGGAGGGAGGCACCAAGTGGGCACTGGCCTGCCCCTCCCCTGCTGGCCACAGCCCCAGCCATTGCGACACTGGCCCAGCCTGGGGATGGCCCAGAGAGGGTGTTGATGGGTCCACCAGGCAGGTGGGAGCACAGGTGGTGATGGAGAGGACCCAGAGTCACTAATGGGAGACAGTGGCCAGGAGCAAGGGGGTGGTGAAGGAGGGTGGAGGTGGGCACATCAACGGGGAATCGGAAGGGACACGAACGGCGGTGACAACTCAAAACTGCCCCGTAGGATTTCTGAGGCTGAAAATCTTTACAATTCACAGAGCACGGTGATTCTATAGGATAAACACAGACTGTGAACCACAAGGTTAGCAGTTTGAACCCACTCTTCAGGAGAAAGATGAGGCTTTCTGGAAAAGATTTAAAACCTCGGCAGCCCCATATAGGGTTGTTATGAGGCAGAACCAACTTGACAGCACTTAACAATGAACAATAAACCTTTAAGGGAACAGACAGCTGCATCTTTCTCCCTCAGAGCAGCTGGTAGGTTAGAACTTCTGAATTAGCGGTGTAACGCTTAACTCACTGTGCCACCAGGGCTCCTTAACAGGAAGGAAGGTGGTGTTGATGGTGGAACGTAAGGCAGGAGGCAATAATGGGTGTCCGGGATGCCCCAGGGGCATGTTGGGAGACTGGGGGGGACACTGAGGCCAAGGCAGGGCACGTACGTCTGGTGTGAGCATGGAGTAGCTGGGCGGAGGCCGATCCACAGACACAGGCAGGCAGAAGGGGCCGGTCCTCAGGCGGCCATGCTGCAGTAGTGGGATCCACTGCAGAGAGACGGGATTAGGTCGGTGGGAAGGGCGGCTGGGTTGTGGTCAGCTCAGGCTGGGATGGGGTACTCACAGTGAAGCCCACGGGGGTTTCCAGGGCTGTGCCAGGCCGAGGCTGGCAGCTGACATGGTAGAAGGTGAAGAGCAGGTGGTGGTTATCGGTCACACAGGCCGGAAGACGTAGTTTGAACTCCTCATAGAATTCAGGGGACCTGGCCGTGTGGAGTGGGTGAGCTTTGCTGGGGACTAGGAACCTCCTGCACAATCCCCGTGTGGCTGGGGCCCCTCCTCTGTCCCAGATCTTATTCCTCCTCCCAGACCTGTGGCTCGTGGTCGGCCCACTGCCTGGGGATCCCCTCATTCTGCTCCATCTCCCTCCCACACCCCATGCCAGCTGCAGCCCCATCATGTGCTGCTCCCACACACTTGTTGTGGTAGACCACTGGGGTGAAGGCCTCTCGAACGAACTCACTGCAGCTGGACTTGCCGAAGATGACCTGGGGGAGTGGATCATGAGGGGCCGCCAGGGGTACCCGCAGCCCTGCCCCCACCACCCTGGGTATAGCCACAGACCGGCAGGGCCTGGCTGGGGTCCTCGCCCGCCATGTACTGCACGCGTACGGCCAGGTTGCGCACGGAGCCCTGGCGGCTACTGAAGTTGAGGCTGTGTGGGTACACGTACAGCAGGTTCCTGGGAGTGGGGAGATGGGAAGGTCAGAGGGCACATACGGCCCAGCCCAGGGACACCAGAGGAGGCAGGAACAAACCTGGGCCTGGAGACATGGGGTCTGGGAGGAAAGCCAGGAAACAAAATGTGTGTCCACTGTTAAATGAAAATCTAATTTGTTCTGTAAACTTTCATCCAAACCACACACACACAAAAAAACGGTCCATGGGGACATCTGGGGGCATGGATGGGGGATACAGAGGGGCTCTGGGGTTCTGATGGCCAGGAACACATGGATGCGCCCGGAGTTCTAATAGAACAGAGTGATGTCAGGAGCAGCTTCTAGGTCAAGTAACACTCCAGGACCAAGTTCCACGAAGGTGCCCCACCCAGGCTGATCCTCCCCTCACCAGGTTCCGGGACTGGTCTCTAGGGCATCATTGAGTTAGCTGAGAGCAGATAACCACAGTGGAGGTTAGAAAGACTCTAGATAAACAGCTGATGCTGATAAATGCCTCACTGTTATTACTGTTAATGTTATTGTGCCTCCCAACAGGTAGGGAAACTGAGGCTCAGCGAGGTTGAGCCGCAGGGTCCCCCAGCATGTGGGTTGGAAGTTGGCCTCTCCTCTACCCATGAGCTGCCCCCACCTGGCCCTGAGCCCCAGGCAGCATGATTCCAGCGTGGCTCAGCCAGACACTCGCCTGATGCAACTGTCGCACCACCGCCAGACACTTACACAACACGGGCATCCAGCCTGGCCAGTTAACGATTGACCGGGGGTTAAGGGGGTGTCAGCGCATAAAAGGCCGTGGCAGCAAGCAGCGGTACTGTGCCTGCACCCCAGACCCTCAGCCATGGCCATGCTCGCTCTGTGTCTGCTGTGGATTCTGGTGACAGCAGCCCGGCCTGTCCTAGCAGCCCCCACGGGAGGCCCAGAGCCAGCTCGGTATGAGGAGCTGACCGTGCTCTTCCACGGCGCCCTGCAGCTGAGCCAGGCCCTCAACAACATGTACCGGGCCACAGAGGCACAGCTGATGGAGGCTGGACAGAGCCTGAGCCTCTGTGGTCAGGTACTGAGGCACTTAGGGCAGGAGGTCAGCCAGGGCCAGGCCACGGCCCAGGAACTTCACACAAGTCTCTTGGAGATTCAGGTGGGCACTGCAGCCAGGACACTGTTGGGTGGGTAGGGGTCTGCAGTGGAATTACTGTCTATAGAGTGACCAGCCATCCCAATTTGCCCAGGGCTGTGGGGGTTTGGAGGCGTGGTCTTTTCATTGAGAAAGTTAGGAAAGACCTGGGCAACAAGACCCAACCGGCCAGCCACCTAACGATCCCCATCTGGTGAGCAGGCGGAGGAGAATGTACTGCAGCTGCAGGCAGAAGCCATGATGCAGGTGTTGGGGGAAGTAGCTCAGCTGCAACAGAAGCTTCGAGAAAGAGTGCAGTGGCTGGAAGTCCGGGTGCGTGGTGCCCGACTGCGCCATGTCCACCACGAATTGGAGGCCTTAAAGGTAAGGAGCTCTCGGTCTGGGGGGGATAAGACCTTGATTTCTGACTAGAACTTGTTTTTGAACCTGGAGTCCCAGAGGCAGCCTCCCAGCTCCATGGCCTCAGTTTCCCCATTTGCAACTATGGGCACTAAGCGGAGTCTGGGATTCAATATGAGCAAAATACTCAGCTTGGGGCAGAGTACACAGCAGGCACTCAATACATGCTGTTTAGAATGTTTTAGAGTAATTGCTAATATTCACTGAGGGCCCTTAAGTATCAAGCCCTTTCAACCCATAGGATCCTCACGGCCCCATGAGGAGATAACTATTTTATTCCCATTTTACAGATGGGAAAGCTGAGGTCACAGAGGTTCTATGACTTGCTGGGGCACACAGCAGAATAGGAGAGGGTGGGATCTGGAGTCCTGGTGTCACAGTGGTTAAGTGCTGAGCTGCTATCCCTAAGGTTGATAGTTCAAACCCACTTGAGAGAAAGAAGTGGCAGAAGCCCTTTGGGGCAGCTTTGCTGTCCAGAAGAATTGACCTGAGGGCAGTGGGTATGGTTTGGGATTTGGGCAGGGTGGGGACTGGGAGGTAGGATGGCCCTAGCTGAAGTTTCCGTCCCATCCCTGCAGGTTCGTGCCGACAAGCAGAGTCACATTGTGTGGACCCTGGTAGGCCACGTGCAGCGGCAGAAACGGGAGATGGCGGCCCAGCAGCGAAGGCTGCAGAAGATCCAGCAGCGGTAAGCCTGGTGGTGGGGGGCTGCCTGAGGGGACCAGACCAGCAGGGCAGCCGGACAGGACCACCTCCCTTGGCTGACCCACACCTCTCTCCCCAGACTCCACACAGCGGCACTCCCAGCCTGAGTCCACCTGGGCGGAACTGAGAACCAGATACACAGCCAGGGACGTTTCCATGGTTCTGCACAGACCCACACAGGGAGGCCCTGCCTGTCCGATGCAGTCAGCCAGGGCGCCGGGCCCCGCTTCCCGCCACGGAGAGCCGGAAGCAGGCAGGACACAGGCAGAGAGGACACGGCCCCGTTCGGGAAGGGTGGAGGAAGGACATATGCCCACTGGTGGCCACACAAGCTCATTAAAGCAGAAAAGCAGAGTGATGTCATGAGCCCATCTGTGTCTGTGTGTCTGGACTGGGGGCTTCCCCAGCCTGATACCTGCCCAATTCGAGAGCCATCTGCGCCAGGGCTGTACCTGTAGCTGGTGTGGGGGGCGTAGACCTCCCGGGCGGGGAACTCCAACATCTCCTTGGTGGGTCGGCCCCGGGGGTCTGGGTAAGGCTTGATGTGTAGTAGCTCCGGAGAGAGGCAGAAGTGGGGGCTCTCAGGGGCCGGGGAGATGTCGATCTTGAGCTGGGCTGAGGGGAGGCAGCCAGTTGGCATCCTCCTGGGAGTCTCGTGGCCGGGCCTCCCTTACTCTCCCACCCTACCTTTCTGGTGGCCACTACCGTTACTCCTCTGTCTGTCTCACCCAGGCATGACCATCTCTGCCTTTGGGACCTGCCCACCTCCCCTGGGTTACCTCTGTCTCAGTGAGTCTGCTTCTTGTCTGTGTCCCCATTAGAAGGCCCAGCCCCTGAGGGCGAGAGCTTGTCTGTCAGGGTCCCCACTGGGTCCCCAGGGCCAGCACAGTAAGCACTCAGTGTGTGCTTACTGAGTGACTGTAAGAACAACTCTCTGGTTTCTGGGGTGTGGCACGTACCGGTCACGGGCCGCAGGCGCCGCAGCAGGGAAGATGGGCGTCTCATGTCTGCCAGGAACTTGAAGAGGTCCTCGTCACTGAGTCGTTCTGCCTCCTGCCAGAACCCACCCCTGTGAGCCGGGATGAGGGGCTGAGGGTTCCTGGGTGCCACCCCCAGGCCCCTGTTCTACAGCTACAATACCTGCTTAAAGAAGTTGGTTACAGTTAGGGTTGCTGGACGGAAGCCGGAGAAGCTGCAAGGATCATCCCCACTGCTTGCTCGGTCCTGGGGTCCTCTACGGCGGCGGTCAGTCCAGGTGGGCCGGCGCTCTATGGCAGACAGTGTCAAAGACCGACGGATGAGAGACAGAGAAACAGAATCACAGACTCAGGCCTTGTACTGAGTGTGGCCACCAGAGGGCGCCCTCCCACTTCCCCCAGCTGCTAGGTCCTAGGGCGCCTGGAGTTGTGTTTAAGTGCTGTGTTGATTCGTAGTGATCCGGTATAGGCGTTCTAAGGAATGGCTGGTGGGTTTGAACAGCTGACCTTAGGCTTAGTAGTCCAGTGCCTATCCTATAGTGTCACACTAGGTGGTGTAAATGGTTAAGTCATCCATTAGTTACTAACGGAAAGGTTGGTGGTACAAATCCACTCAGAAGTCCCTCAGAAGAAAGGCCTGGTGATCTGTTTCTGAAAAACCCTACAGAGCACAGTTCCACCTGGACTCAACCGTAACTGGTTAGGGTGTCTGTGCCTTGTGGTCCCCCATCAGCGGGCCCTGCTTCCTCACCACCCTCGGAGTCTGAGTCCCGGTCAGACTGCCCAGTGCTGCTCACGATGTTGGCCAGGTGCACGGCTGTCCAGGCAAAGGGCATGCGGTAGCGGCCCAGGCGGGTGCAGAACTGCTCGGCTGCCAGGCGCAACTTCTCCAACTTCTCCTTGTTCTGTGAGGTGAACCCCAGGAGCTCAGCACTGGGCCCTATGGGGCTGGCCCCTCCTCCAGCCAGCGCAGCCTCCTCACACTCACCTTGGCTGCGTCCGCCTCCTTCAGTACCATGTAGGGCTCACAACATTCACTGATGTCTCCCTGCTGCAGCACCTTCTCCAGCTGGGGGCAAGCGGTTGAGTGACACACAGACATTCTGTCCGCCTGGGTTACTGCTCTAGCATCTTAAATAGATAGCTCATACTGCCTTCCCCGCCATCAAATTTCTCCCCCAAACCAAGTCCAGCCCACCTTTCACTTACTTGAAAGACCATCCCCACATTTATATTTTCATTTGGATATTAACAGAGGCTGTTCCAAGCATGGGCCTGGGCCGCAGGACCCTGGATTCTGCACCTGTTTTCCCATTTGAAAAATGCAGGTCCTGGCCACCCCGTGTCCATATGAGGACTAAAAGCGGGAACCCCAGTGAAGCCTGGCCATGAGAGGTGGATCTCATCTCACCAGCCACCTCGCCATCGGGAAAGCTTTGGAGATTCCCTCCCACAGAGATTTCCTCTAGGCTCCACCCCACTGCCTGTGCCCCCTCTCTGGCATCACAGCCCAATCACACAGACACGTCTGTCTCGTAGTGTGGGGCCCCTGTCTGTGGGGCTCAGATTCATCACCCCCTTGTCCAGCCCCAGCGGGCACCTTGATGACCAGAAAGATGTCAGGCGAGGGGTAGGTCACGGAGAAGATGGCAGAGCGGGCCAGGGTGGAGATGGCGGGGTGGGTGCCATGTGCTCGCAGCAGTCCCTTTGTGGAGTCCGAGTTCAGGTCGAAGTAGAAGTTCTCTGAAATCTGGGGACAAGAAGGGCAGCTGGGCCATCCCCCCAAGAAGCCCACAGCCCCCCGAAGGATGAGCAAAGGAGGCTCCTACCTTCTTTTTCTCCCGCACGTCGTACAGGGCCAAGATCCCGAAGATGGGCTCAATTTCAATCTCGAACCTGTGGGTGAGTGGGGGGCTCCAACAGAGGCTCTCCTAAGCCCTGTGCAGCCTCCCAGTCCCATCCCCGCTCCCTTGGAGGTCCCAGCCTGGCCCTGGTGCATTATGAAGGCATACGAGGCTCCATAGGGAACTATGGGCTTTACAAAAGGGGTACTTGCCTGAATTAGCAGCTCACACAGACCCACTCTTAACCTTGGCCCTAGTTTAGTTGACACAGAGGCAGCTTTTGGCCCAACAATCTCCCCATCTTGAAAGTGTCCACTCTGGGCCTCCTGTCGCCCCTAGGCTGTGACATGTCCTCCTTGCTACCGGGTTAATGAATCCCTTCCCTGCTTCTCTGAAAAGCCACTGTCTGCATGGTCTGGTCACAAACTAGAGGCTTCCACTTCCCTGAGGACAAAGTCCTACGTGGGCGCCAGTCCACCTTGTGCCTCATTTTCCCCTCTACAGATGGTCCAGTGGCCCAAAACGTGGGCGTGCCGGCTTCTACATGTACTGTGTCCCCAACCAGAGTGAGCTCACCCTCCCCTCTTCTCCCCGGACCCCTTTCCCTCCCCACAGCTGGGTCAGGAGCCTCTTCTGGGTCCCACACACCCAGCGCAACTCCACCACAGCTCAGCGATGTGGCCGGTACACAGTAGGTGTCAGTGTTTGCTGAATGGCTGAATGAGCCCACAGAGCCTGTTCCCAACCCCGTGCTTGTAAGGTCCACCTGGGCCTCAGGCCAGACAGGACACTCCCTTTCCTGTCCCTATTCGTCCATCCATTAGACAGGAACTTGGGGAGGGGAGAGGCCGGGCCAGGCTTGGGGCCAAGACCACATCCTGTTCAGGACATTCCCACGCGCTCTGGCTGCTCCCCAGGGGGCCTTGGGTGGCTGGAAGCCAGGCACAAGGTCGCCAGAACCCCAAAGAGGCCAAGGACTCACACCTCAGTTGGGTTATTCACACAAGTCTTGAGTTCCAGGGCACAAAGACTTCACAGCTCTGTGCCTCAGTTTCCCCACCCACACTCAACTCCACAAAACTGTGGTGATATATGGGAAGCACTGAGAACGGCGTCTGGCACATGTGGACACTTAATGGTTAGTGGTTTTGAGGATTAAAACAGAAGTTATCACCTCCCCTCAGAAAAGCCCTCAGGTGTCCTTCTGGGTCTAAGCACAGCACAAGGTGATGACCTTGCTCGTGTGCTAAGCGCCAAGTGTTGACCCTGCACTGGAACCCCACGTGGTCTCCACGCACATATGAGGTGAAGGTAGGGGTGGGCGGAGCAGCCCCACTCACTTGAGTGACAGGCACTTGACCAGGATCCTCTGTCCAAAGTGCTCGCGGGGCGGTTCCGGGCGGCTGCAGCGTTCCACGGCCTCATCCTGCCAAGAGCCAATGGGGGCGGCTGGACATCTCCTCCCGGAATGCCCAGCCTGGCTAGACTCCATTCAGCCTCCCACTTCAGAGCCATCCCAAGTGCTTCTCCCCAAGTCTGGAATGTCCTTCCTCCTCTCAGTGCTGGGCCGGCACTTCCTCCAGGCTGCTCAGGACACCCTGGGTGTTTACCATCACGGCACTACTCCATCTGACTAGGGTTTCCTAACGGATGGGGGTCTATGTGAAGGCCGACACTGGGTCTAACCTTGCACTACATTCCCAGTGTCTGCCGTAGAGAACATGCCGTGGATACAGAGGCATACTGTTGTTGTTGTTAAGAGTCATCGAGTCATTTCAGACTCATAGAAACCCTACATAGAGTTTCTAAGGAGTACCTGGTGAGTCTGAACCGCTGACCTTGTGGCTCAAACAGACTTTGAGGTTCAGTCCTTATCCTATAGCACCATACCAGGAAGCATACTGTAGGCCCCTACTAACAGCTGGTGGGATCAACACAGATGCAAACAGAAAGCATTCAATAAACATTGAAGGGACACACACAGAGTATAACTGTTGTTGTTAGGTGCCATCGAGTCGGTACTGACTCATAGGAACCCTTCGCACAACAGAATGAAACACTGCCCAATCTTGGGCCAACCTCACAACTGTTGTCACGCCTGAGTCTAACTAAGCACCCAATAAGAACCAATTGAAGAAATTTATGTAAGTATACAGTTAGTTGTTAAGTGCTGTTGAGCGACCCTGTGTAAGGTTTCCGATAAGTGACTGATGAGTTTGAACTGCCAACCTTGTGCTTCAAACCGATCTAGCAGTCAAGTGCTTATCCTACAGCAGCACACCAGGGCTCTGAGTATACAGTAAGTGCCCAGTAAATGCTGGCTGAATAATAACAAAGCAGTGTACTACCGTGCCAAGCAGCCCCAAAGGACAGAGTGGACTTGTTCCCCAGAGTTTCTGAGACGGTAAATCTTTACAGAAGCAAACTACCTCATCTTTCTCCTGAGCAGCTGCTGGTGGATTTGAACCATTGACTTTGAAGTTAACAACCCAACACTTAACCCACTGCACCATCAGGGCTCCTTGTTGTTGTTGTTAAGTGTCATCGAGTTGGTTCCGACCCATAGCGACCATGAACAGGGTTTCCGAGGCTGTAAATCTTTACGGGAGCAGAAAGCCTCATCTTTCTCCCATGGAGCAGCTGGTAGTTTTGAACTGCTGACATTGCGGTTCGAAGCCCAATTTGTAACCACTATGCTACCAGAGCTCCTTCAGGGCTCCTTAAAGAGGTAAATTTGTGGTTGTTAGTTAAGTGCCGGTTCTGACTCATAGCAATCCTGTACAGAGTTTCTGAGGAGCCACTGGTGAGTCTGAACTGCCAACAGACTGACCTTGCAATCCAATGTATTAGCCTGCAGCACCATACCAGAGAGATATATGTTGTTGACAAGTGCCATTGAGTCGGTTCCGACTCACAGCAACCCTGTATAGGGTTTTCAAGGAGCAGCTGGTGAGCTTGAACCTCCGACCTTGAGGTTCAAATCGACCCTACAGTCCAGCGCATTAACCCACAGTGCCACATAATAGGTATCTAATAAACGTTGGTTGAAAAACACAGGCAAGTACGTGCAGTAGAGGCTCAATTAATGTTCATTAAGTGCAGGGATATACACTAGGTGCCCAGTACATACTGCTTGATTAAACAAAGGAAGATACAGTAGGCACACAACAAACACTGTTAAATAAATATAGAGGTATGTATGTAGTAGATAGATGTTCCAGTGGCACTGTAGGATAAGCACAGCCATGCCTCGGGAAAAAGATGGGGCATTCTGCTCTAGAAAAGGCAAGCCTACATAGGGATCGTAGGAGTCAGAAACAATTCAACGGCAGTGGGGTGTTTTATGTAATTGTTGTTGTTGTTGTTAAGTGCTGTCAAATGTCCGTGAAAGTGACTGAATAAATATATTGAAGTTACCACAGACTTCATTTTTCTTGGATCAACCATCAACACGCATGGAAGCAGCAGTCAAAAAATCAAACAACGTATCACATTAGGCAGATCTGCTGCACAAGACCTTGTTAAAGTGTTGAAGAGCAAAGATGTCAGCTTGAGGACTAAGGTGCGCCTGACCCAAGCCATGGTATTTTTAATAACCTCATATGCATGCTGAAAGCTGGACAGTGAATAAGGAAGATTGTAGAAGAATTGATGCATTTGAGTTATGGTGTTGGAGGAGATTATTGAAAGTGCCATGGGCTGCCCATAGAACCAACAGATCTGTGCTGGAAGAAGTGCAGCCAGAGTGTTCCTTGGAGCCAAACTCCATCTCTCCTACTTCGGACATATTGTCAGGAGGGACCAGTTGCTGAAGAAGGATATCATGTTTGGTAAGGTGGAGGGTCAGAGAAAAAGAGGAAGACCCCCAGTGAGATGGATTGGCAAAGTGGCAGCAATTGTGAGGTTGGCCCAGGATCGGGCAGTGTTTTGTTCTGTTGTGCATAGGGTCGCTATGAGTCGGTACTGACTCAATGGCACCTAACAACAACAACAACAGACAGTAAAACATGGAGTCCTGGTAGCACAACGGTTTAGCACTCAGCTGTGAATGGAAAGATTCATGGTTCAAACCCACCAGCTGCTTTGCAGGAGAAAAGATCTGGCAATCTGCTCTTGTAAGGACTGCAGCCTTGAAAACCCTGTTAGGGTCACTATGAGTCAAAATCCACTAGAATACAATGGGCTTGATTTTGGTTTCTAACTATAAAAACAATCAACTCAGCAGCAATGGGAAATGAAACAGCATCAACTCGACAGCACCCAACAATAATATATGATAAAGGTCATGTGTGTCACAGTAGAACTATGTTTCAATGGGTTTCCAATGGCTGATTTTTCTGAAGTAGATCACCAGGCCTTTCTTCTGAGGTGCTTCTGGGTAGACTCGAACCACCCACTCTAGTAGTCAAGTATGTTAATTGTTTGCACTACCCAATAGGCACCCACCTCATCAGGCGCTGGGTAGAGGATGAGCAGGGCGCTGGCCCGGTGCTGCCGTCGCAGGACCTCATTCCGCCGATCCACATCCTCTGGGGCTGTGCGCTCCAGCAGTGAGGGCAACAACGAGTCGGCCGCCAAGTTCCTCAGGTCAAAGATGCCAGAGGCACCGCTGCCTCGTGGAGTGTCGTCTGGGGAACTTGAGCAACGCCGGGGATCTTCCTACCAGTAGAGAATGTGCAAGCACTGAGCACCAGCTGGATGCACCCTCACCCCAACTGGGTGGAACTATCTTTATGCCCATTCTATAATTGGGGAAGGAGCTCTAGTAGCGTAGTGGTTACGAATCGGGCTGTGAACCACAAGGTCAGCAGTTTGAAACTACCAGCTGTTTCACAGGAGAAAGATGAGGCATTCTGCTCCCGTAAAGATTTACAGCCTCGGAAACTCTGTACAGGGTCGCTATGGGTCAGAACCGACTCCACGGCACATAACAACAACAACAAATAATTGGGGAAGCTGAAGGCTATAGGAGGTACCTAGAGAATTTGCTCACCCCCTTTCCAGAAATTTCTGTATGGAGACCACCTTTTCCTTGCAAGAGGCTACCTCCATGCCTCCATCCTGGGCTTCATGTGACCCTAGACTAGTCATTCAGAACACATCATCTGCTGACTCTAGGAATTGGTTCCAAAGTGAGGACATGCTAGGGTTGGGCCAATGAGAGCCTTTCCTGGGACTTTGCTCACTGTTGCCAGGGGAGGGGAAGTGTTCCCCCCATGAGAGCTGCCATTGTTGACCCTAGGACTCTGCTTAACTCCCCACATTCAGCTGTAGCCAGATGCCTGGTTCAAACCCCCGAATGGTACTATGACCCTAAGTTTCTGATCCCCAACCCTAACGATTTCAGCTTCCCATCTGTCAAATGGCTTAATAATCATCTAAACATAACAACAATGGAAATAATGGCTTATGCTTACTGGTACAGTTGTTGTTAAGTGCCGTCAAGTCGGTTCCGACCCACAGCGACCCTATTGAGGGTTTCCAAGGAGTGGCTGGTGGGTTTGAACCACAGATTTTGAGGTTCAAACCAACCTTGAAGTTAAGTGCTTATCCTACAGCGCCATACCAGGACTCCAATAAATGTTGGTTGACAGAGAAATATAAGTTTACGACTCAGCAGACCAGGGAAAGTCCTCTACAAACTCTACTGTGCCTGTTTCCATATCAGCAACATGGCTGTGGTTGCCCCGTCCTCACAGGATGAAAGGAGAATGAGTGTGGAGTATTTAGCAAGCACACAATTCAGTGCCTCCAACTATTACCCTTAGGAGTCTTGTTAAGGTGCTGTAGGATGAGCACTGGTCTGCTAAATACAAGGTCAGTGGTTCAAACCCACCAGCGGCTTCTTGGAAACCCCATAGAGGGTTGCTATGAGTCGCAACCGACCCGATGACACTTAACATTATCCTTAACTTTTTACTCAGCAAGTGGATACATTTCCTTTTGGTCTCAGGTCTATTTGGGTCTGTTTCCTGTCACGTGTGACCAAGATCCTGGGAAGAACCCATGGAAGGTGGCTCCCTCACCGAGTCCTGAGGATTAGTCTTCTCGTCCCCAAAGACATCCTGCTCAAAGACCTGGCGGGTGAGGCCCTTCTGTCGCTCCCGCTGTGTCTCCGAGGTGATGGGGTTGTACGCTGCACTCAGATGCTGGTACCTGGCAGGAGACAGGTCTGGATGGGAAGTGGGGCTGAGGGCTCCCCAGGGGTCCCTGATGAGATCTGCAAGATCATCCCCCGCTCCCTGCGCTCCAACAGAGAAGTCCAGCTATCCGTGCAAAACCAGCAGGAAGATAAACAGGAAGACCAGTCACAGACAACAGCTGGGCTCTCCTGGGCTCAGACCCAGCCTCTTGCTGGCCCCTCACCCCCAGGCAGACACACCTCCTATGGACGATGACCCAGTCCTCCGTGTACATCTCCACGGCAGCCCTCACCTGGGCATCCAGCTTCCTGTGGAAAATACAATCGGGGGAACAGAGGAGATTGAGATTATATTAGGATGGGGAGAGGAGACTCAGACAGAGACAGAGGCACTCCGTCAACGTCACAGAGTCAGGAGGCTGATGGGAAAGGCTGTGTGGATAGGGTGGAGAAGGGGCACCCACCCATCCTCGGGGATCCCAGGCTCCGTGGTCCGGCATTCCCGAGGCTGCAGTACCAGCTCCAGGTCATCAGTTGGAAACTCGACCAGATCCCGGAGGGGCCCAGGCTCAGCATCTGGTGGCCGGCTCAGCAGCACCTCCTCGAAGTCCAGGGGCTGGATGACCTCAGTCAGTGGGACCTGGGTCAGAGTGAAGGGGCTGTGACCTCCTGCCCCCAAGACTGGGGTTGGGAGGCACCAGATGGGGGTAGGGCTGTACAGGCCTTAGGGTAGGAGCCCTGGTAACAGGGTGAGTTAAGTATTGGACTGCTAAGCGAGATTGGCAATTCAAGCCCAATAGCTGTCCCATGGAAGAAAGAAGTGGCAGTCTGCTTCCGTAAAGATTTACAGCCTCAGAAACCTATGAAGCAGTTCTCCTCTATCCTACAGGGTCACTGTGAGTTGGGATTGATGACAGTGGTTTTAGTGTGAGGTCTGGGGTGCTGCAGCATAAACACTGGAATGCTAACTGCAAGGTCAGTAGGTGGTTCAAACCCACTAGCTACTCCACAGGAGAAAGATGAGGTTTTCTGCTCCCATAAAGATTTACAGTCTTGGAAACCCTCCACAGGGTCGCTATGAGTTGGAATTGACTCGGTGGTGTGGGTTTTGGTGGGAGTCACAGAGGGTGCTGGAGCTATGGAGGGGCCAGGGAGGACAGTGGCCCCATCAGCCGCTCCTCCCCCACCCAGCCCCAATCCAGTCTCTCCTTCCAGGCGCTCCAGGCAGGCAGGAAATCACACCCTGGTGCCTGGAGGGCAGGAAACTAAGGGTGGAAGGAAAGGCGAGTGCACAGACTGTCTGAAGGACGCCCCTGGCCAAATGGACCTCCCTCCCTACTGCAGCCTGAAGGATCACCCATTCCTCCCCCACCATCACCACCTGGGTGGTCCAGGCAGCAAGAGAAGGGGCCCTTCGCCCTGACCACCCATAATGCTGCTCCCCCTCAGGAAGCTGTATCCAGGGAGTTTTCCCTCCCCCCATGGGAAACAGGAATGAGACACAGCACTGGACCAGGGCCGGGCCTCCTTCCTTGAGACTTGCTGGTTTTCACAGGAAAGGCCCTTCCTGAGGGCAGAGTCCTGGCGGCAGGCACCCCCCAAACACGTACCCCCAGGGAGCTGCTGCTGCGTCTACTGGAGTGAGGAGAGCCACTGTGTTCCCGCGATACCTGCTTCCGTACCTCGGCGGCCACCATCCTGTGGGGGGAGAGTCCAGGCTGTGGATGGAAAACAAACCAGGCCAGGGGATCTCCGCCCCCTACAAGGTGTGCCTAGGGTTCTCCCATGCACACATGGGGGTCTGCCATTGGGTGGGCCGTGAGGACTGACTTCCTCACACGAGGGGGAAGGGGCCTCTGTCCACACTGTTGTTAGGTGCTACTGTTTGGTTCCAACCCATAGTGACCTTACCCACAACAGAAGGAAACTCTGTCCTGTCCTGGACCAGCTTCATACTTGTTGCATTGGAGTGCTGGTGTTGTAGCCACTATGCCAAGTCACCCTGGTGTCCCCAAACACATTCACCCTGCTTCCTGGATCCCATCCAAGAATGTGTACCCTGTCCTGCCCTTGCTAAGGGGCCTTGAGCAAGTCACTTTACTCATCTGTAACCACCTTGACCTCACAGGGCTGCAGAGGATGGGTTTGGCATTCTGTGAGCACCCCACACCCATACCTTCTCAGGGCATGTGTAAGGGGAGGCTGCCCCATGTGGGCAATCCTGGCGGCCTGTGGAGCCAAGAGGGTGAGGTTGGTGGACCACCACAGTCCTGGGTCGCTTTTATCTGAGATGGTCTTTCAAGTCAGGGAGAAAGAGAGTGAGAGGCAAGACCTGGATGAAAGGGGAATGGGCACTGGATCAGGAATTGGGAGCAGACCCAGAGAGGTGAGGATCCCCCTAGGCTGAGCCTAGAGCAAGAGGTGGTAAAGGGCCTTGCAATTATCTGGGGGAAGTGTGAGCCAGGAAATGGGAGCAGCACGTGCAAAGATCCTGAGGTAAGTCCTGTCTGTGTTCTATCCCACTGTGGGAGGAAGGCGCATGGGGAGGGACCCAGCCCCCTGGATTTCTGAATGCAGGAGCTAGAAGAGGGGAACCCAGTACATAACAGGTGCTCAGTTTTTTTTTTTCCTTAAATGGAATGAGTGAATTCCTCCCAATTTGCCCAAATCTGCTCCCGGAATGAGTTGGGAGAGCCCCACACCTTTAAGCTGTGTGGCCTTGGGCAGCAGAATACCCTTTCTGGGCTTCAGTGCCTCTTAAAATTGAGAAGCTGATTGATTGCCTGGGTGTTTGAGGCCCACTCCCCTTCATTTGCCAATTTTCAGTGTGCTAGGAAACTTACTCATAGAGATTCACAGCAACCCTGATTAGACCTGGTCATGCGGTTTTCCAAGGGTGTCGTCTGTCTGGAAGCAGACCCCCACATTATACTCGGAACTGAATCATCAGCACTAGGTTTGGTTTAAGGGTCTTTGGTGATAACAGTGGTTAAGCACTCAGCTGGTAACCAAAAGGTCAGCGGTTCAAACCTGCCAGCTGCTCTGCAGGAGAACCATGTGGTAGGCAGTCAGTCTGCTTCTGTAAAGATTTACAGTTTTGGAAACCCTGTGGGGGCAATTCTGTGTCCTATAGGAGCCTTACGAATTGGAATCGATGTAAAGATAACAGGTTTTCGAGGAAACTTAAGCACTTGATTATTAGCTGAGAGGTTGGTGGTTCGAACCCACCCAGAGGCACCTATGGAGACACACCCGGTGATCTGTTTCTGAAGTGCTAGTCTTAAAAATCCTACTGGAGTGTTTTCCAGTCGGGTTTGACATCAGCTCAACTGTAACTAACAAAATTCATAATAATAATAGATATAAAAAGTTGTGTCTACACAGGGCAGCGCTGAGGCTGCTGATCCAATGGCCCTTAGGGTACCAGGAAGGTGAATGTACACAGTGGCCGGGGTGACTCTAAAGGCAGGGGAGAGTAAAGGAGGATTGGGGCCAACTGGAACCCCAGCCCCATCTAAGGCTTCGGAATTCAAATCTCCGCCAGACAAATAAAACTTGCCCATGGCCCTGACCCAATGTGAGGTCTCTAATTTGGAACCCCAGCCTCATTCCTCCTCTGGCTCTGCATTTTATCTATTTCCTCTGTCAACAATTCCAAAGTCATACTTGTACCAGTTAGACGGTGACGGGGTTGGTTCTGGAAATTCAAAGGGTGCTAAAAACTAGGGTTCTGTCCTCAAATTGTTGAAGCTGGAGTGGCCTTCTCAGAACCTTGATCACAGGGGCTTACGAAAGATGCCGGGACAGGGGAAGAGGCTGGCCCTAGTCCCAGCTGGTCTGCAGCTGCTATCCCAGAGCAGGGAGAGGGCGGAGGGAGGGCTGGGCCTTCGAGAGAGAGGCCCCCGGAATGGGGAACAGCAGGGACCACAAGGCTGTGGCCACAGGAACCAGTTTACTGAGTCAAGAGCTCAGGACTCCACCTGAAGCGGGTTGTACGTAGGTGAGAGATCACCCCTTGCTAGGCCTCTGGGCTCAGGACAGTGCCCACATTATTGAGTATAAGGTCTGGCATACAGTTGTTGTTAGGTGCCATAGAATCGGTTCTAACTCGTCATATTCCTACATGGAACAGAACAAAACACTGCCCAGGTCTACAACATCCATCATTGCTGCCACTATGCCAGTCCGTTTCATTCAGGGTCTTCCTCTTTTCCACTAACTTTCTACTGTATTAAGCATGATGCCCTTCTCCAAGGATGGGTCTCTCCTGATAACATGTCCAAAGTACATGAGATGAAGTCTCACTGTCCCGGCTTCTAATAAGCATTCTGACTGTACTTCTTCCAACTCAGATCTGCTTTTCTTCTGGCAGTGCATGGCATTATATTGAATATTCTTCCCCAACACGGGAATTCGAAAGCTTCAATTCTTCCATCTTGCTTATTCACTGTCCAGCTTTAACATGCATGTGAGGTGATTGAAAAGACCAAGACTTGGGTCAGGCTCACCTTAGTCCTCAAAGTGAGAGTTTTGCTTTTTAACACTTTAAAAAAAGGTCTTTGGCAGCAGCAGATTTTCCTTGGCTGCTGCTCCTATGCGTGTTACTGTTGTTATCCAGTCGGTACTGACTCATAGAGACCCTATGCACAAGAGAACGAAACACTGCACGACCCCACACCAACCTCACAATTGTTGCTAGGCCTGGGCCCACTGCTGCTGACACTGTGTCTCTCCATCTCGCTGGGGGGTGGGGGGTTCTTCCTCTTTTTCTCTGACCTTCCACTTTACCAAACATAACATCCTTCTCCAGTGACTGGTCCCTCATGACAATATGTCCAAAGTATAAGAGGTGAAGTCTGACCATCCTAGCTTCCAAGGAACACTCTGGCTTCACTTCTTCCAACACAGATCTGTTGGTTCTTTTGGCAGCCCATGGTACTTTCAATATTCTCCTCCAACACCATAACTCAAAAGCATCAATTCTTC